CCCCTTTTCATTGAGAACTTCAATTCTTTTTTTTTTTTTGGTGGTGCTATTCCTAGTGCTTGAACTCAGTATCTGTGCACTGTCTCTTAGTGGTTTTGCTCAAGGCTGATATTCTACCACTTGAGCCATTGCTCTACTTCTGGCTTTTTGATGGCTAAATGGAAATAAGAATCTCACAGACTTTCTTATCTGAGCTGGCTTCAAGCCATGCTCTTCAGATCTCAGCCTCCGGAGTAAAGCTAGGTATGAGGCTGAGAACAGTTCAGGCAGAGAACCTCCGTTCTTGGCAGGAGGGCCCAGCAGCCTGTCAGCGCAGTCACGTTCACGTCTCACTTGATGCTCTGCACCTTGAACAATGATGAATGGTTCTGGCTAGTTCTTGCCAGTGCTCCCATGTCCTTGGTTCACCTGCCCTCCCAAGACACAGAGACCAGGACAATGGGTCACTGAGGTATGCACAGTACCAGAAGTGGGGGTGGATGGAATGCTTGGAATGATAATCAGCCATCCACGGGCTCTTTGCCACTGTTGATAATCCTTCCATATTCTCTGTCTCATTCTCTCCTCACTCTGCCCTCAGGAGAATGGCAGGACAGATGCTCATCCCTTTGTGTGTCCTCCAACAGTGGGGTTTAAATTCTGCCTGTGTTCTTGGGCCAACTGCTTTACCCTGCCTCTATCCAATGTGCTTATCCCACAGGGCCTCTGTGATCATGCTCAGACACAGTAGCCAGTATTTATTATTGCTATTTATCTGTAATATTATCTATTCTAGATACTGTCCTTGCTAAAAATTGATTTCCCATTGGCTTCAGCTCCCTCCCTCTCCTTTTTCTCTCTCTTCTCTGTCTCATCTCTCCTTCACCAATGTCAGTACCTACTTCAGAGCTCTTGATGGCTTAACATGGATAACGCAGCTTTGAACCAAATGGAAATTCTTTCCCTACAAGAGTTTTATGGGCATAATTCAAGTGCCAGGGCTTTCCATGGTGGTAGAAATGCTCTGGAGAAATCAGCCTGGAGATGGAGTTGCGGGGATAGGGTTCCTTCCAGGGAAGGGCCTGTGGACAGTCAGTTGAGGTTTGGGAAAGGCCCTGGAGGGTTTGGAGAGCAGGCCTTTGGACACCTGGGGTAGAGGGTGGGAAGAGCAGCCAGTGTAAACAGCCCTGAGGAGTAGTTCTGAAAAGTTCTGGCAGACTCATAGGATGGCAAAATACAGGGGCAGAATAGATGGTAGGACTGTAGGAGTGAGAAACTGACATTCTCTGAGTGGTTGGGAGGATTCAGGAGGTATGGGCATAGGAACACCACGTGAATTACAGAACCTACCCCACTCCCAAGATTAGAACTCAAGGCCTCACCCTTGCCCAGCTAACTTCTACCACTTGAGCTATGTCTCTAACTTGGCTTTTTTTTTTTTTTTTTTGCTGGTTATTCTGGAGATGGAGACTCATGAACTTTTCTGCCCACTCTGGTCTTGAACAACAGTCCTCTAGATCTCAACCTTCTGAAATAGCTAGAGTTATAGATGTGACCTAACAGTATGACTTGGAGAGTTTTAAAAACCTTCTTCCTCCCAAATGACTATTGCCTAAACAACTTCCTAGATGAAGAGCTGGAAAAACTTGAGACAGACTTGTAGATCCTGTGCTGGCCTTCAGCAAGCAGCAGAGAGGGGACTCTTAATCCCCTCCAGGCAGGCTCTGTGGGCTCTGCACCCCAATATAATCAGCTAGCAGGTGTGGTACCTGCGGTGACCCTGGCACCTGGCTCTGAGGACAGACAGGTGTGGAGACCAGGTAAGGGCCGGTGTGGCAGCCACAGGAAGGTGTGTCCAGGACAAGGGTCTTGGGGAGAATTGGCAAATACAACATCCTGGTGGTCCAGAGACAACCTGACTTACCCTGCAAGGCACAGCCTCATGGGGATGTTGGTTTCAGCCTTGTGTGCTATGAGGCCTCTGGTTCTAGGATGCAGGGTTCCTGTCTCCAGAGCAGCCCTACTTCCTTCCCAGAACCAGAACTTAAGGATACTACCCTGATCTTCCCTTTGCAAAGCTGTCTGTACTTTTGGGAAGTGCTATGTCTAAAATGACCAGGTTATCATTCTTCAGGATCCAATGTGTGTGCTTGTGTGTGGGGGAGGAGGAGGGAAGGTGGTGGCAGCGGTGACAGGCAGGACTTACCTATCCTAGAGGAATCTGTGTGTGTGTGTGTGTGTGTGTGTGTGTGTGTGTGTGTGTGTGTGTGTGTGTGGACAGCAGGTTGGTCTCAGCTTTGGGGAGAGGAGAGACAGAGACTCAGAGGATGCTTCTCTCTGGCCCTCAGTCTCCCTCTGGAGGTGGGAGTCTGGTCCAGTGGAGCTCAGAACCAGGGGGAATCTAAGAGGGATATTTGGTAATGAGCATACCCAGTGTGGCAACCCCTTGCCAGCCATCCTGGCTAAGGTCCCGTGCTCCTGCTAAACTCCTACAGAAGTTGAGGCACTTGGCTTCAGAGGGTAGCATCCTCAAGAGCCCATACTTGTTTAATATCTAATCTGGAATTATTGAGGGGCCACTCCAGGCCAGTGTCCTTTCTAGGGCCAAACTGGGTTCTCCATCCCCATGGCCGTGACTTTTTTCTTGGTTGGTCGTGGGGCTTGAACTCTGGGTCTGGGTGCTGTCCCTGCACTCTTCAGCTCAAGAAGAGTGCTGTATTACTTGAGCCACAGTGCCACTTCCATGGCTGTGACTTTTGCATGCTGAGCACTATGCTAGGTGCTGTGCATTTCTCACCCACCACACTTTTCCACCTACCCACCTATGTGGCAGAGGGCAGCACAACTCTCCCCACTGTGTCCACACAGGGCCAAGGGTGCAGGAGCTACCATGCTTGGGGGCCAGTTTGGCTGTGAGGATGTAGAACAAAGCCAAGGCTGGCTGTATGACATCCTCTGAGCTACTTGCTCTCAGGTACCCCAGCTCTAAAGTAAGGATAATTCCACTTGTCCACTGGATTTATTGCAAGGTTGAAACAAGATGATATACAGGATGAGAATCACCCAATTAAAATGGGCTTTTGCCTTCGTATGTTAATTTCTTTCTCTCTCTCTGTCTCTGCCTCTCTGTCTCTCTCTTTCTTGTTGGTCATGGGGCTTGAACTTGGGGCCTTGGTGCTGTCTCTGAGCTTTTTCACTCAAAGCTAGTGCTCTACCACTTTGAGGCTAGCACCAACTTGTAGTTTTCTGGTGGTTTATTGGAGACAAGAGTCTCACAGGCTTTCCTGCCCAGGCTGGCCTTGAACTGTGTTCCTCAGCCTCCCAAGTAGCTAGGATTACAGGCATGAGCCACTGGCACCCTGTTCCTGTGTAAATTTCATTGTTTGTGGATACCCATTCTGACTTGATATATGGTGACAGTCACTATTCTAATGGGCTATGCCCTAGCCACCCTCACCACTGCATGTCCCCAGCAGGACCAATTAACCCTCCTCCCCCCACCCCCCCTGCCCCCTGGCCCTTTCCTGCAGTGGGTGGGTTAGAACACCTGCTAAGGACAGTTCAGGTCAGTGGTGGAGAGCAAGGCCTCTCCTACCTGATGAACCTGACTGTGGGATACACAAGGCTTGAAGCAGCTTCCTGCTCCCCAAGCCCCTCCCCCAAGCCTGCCTCCCACATGTGGTAATTAAGCTCAGACATCTAGTGTAAGCAAATAATAACAAGAGCATTATCTCCCTTTAGTCTATGTTTTTTCTTGCCTCTCATAAAGTAATTAAAATAATGAATGCCTTGTAAAACAATAGGTAACAGCGCTGGCAAAATAGCATTGTCTTCCATACAGCTCTTGTGCTGTGAATTATTGATGCACTGAAGTTCCTGTGACCGCTGACTCCTGGCACTTTTCATGCTGATTTTCATTCTGCAGGCCATGTCCTTGCCACCAGGAATGAGGGGCAGGGTGTTGGCCCTTCAGGTCCCCAGGTGGCAGCCAGGGACTAGTTCAGCAACATGGCCAGTAGGTGTTCCTCAAAAGCAAACACAAAACCAGACACTGGTGGCTTGTATAAATCCTAGCTGTTCTGGAGGCTGAGATCTGTGGACCAAGGTTCAAGCTCAGGCACACGAAATCCAAGTGACTCTTAACCTCCAATTAACCAGAAAAATGCCCAAAGTGGAGATATGGCTGGAGCTGTAGAGGGCTACACTTGAGTGGAAAAAGCTAAGCAAGGGCTAGACACCTTGAGTTCAAGCCCCAGTTTTTTTTTAAGTTATACTTAGGGGACTTTGATTTGAGGGCTTGCTCCCTGCCCCAGCATCTTCCTCTTCTGCTTATCCACTGTCATTTCTGGAAAAGGCACATGGTCCTGGTAGGAGGAGGAAGAGGCCCAAGAAGAGCAGAGATTGAGACCTGCCACCCATTTCAGATAAGAAGAGGGTTCATCCTGCCCCGCCAGTATGGTCAACTGCTGTGGTTCTCCAAATTGGGCCCCCAGACCAGCAGATGGGTGTTATCTTGGAGCTGGGTGGCACTACAAGTTCTGTTTCAACAAGCCCTCCACATGCTTTCAGATGGTTGCTTGTTGGAGAACCTTGCTCTAACAGTGTCAATGTCAGTGTCAGGAGATGGACCGAGTGGATTGTGTATGTATCGTGTGCTGTTGGGCAGTCTGCAGTCCTGATGTGTGTGGAGGAGGAAATGCTCTTCCATATCACAGGGCAGCTCACAGTGGCATGATATCTGGAATCCCCTCTGAATAGATCTGTGCCTCAGTTACTGTACCTGTCTACGGAGCAAGACCTCCACTTCCTCCTGGAGATCCACCCTTTTAGAGACACTGGTGGCTGAGATATCAGGAATTCTGGGACTAGGGCAAGTCCTGACAGGCCATTGAGACAAATCTGAGTTTGGATAGCAAGTGTGTCACATATCAGTGTGCTTCATGAATAAGGCCTGCTATTTGAACCCAGTTCCCTGTGTCTCAACATGATCTCTCTCTCTCTCTCTCTCAATCTGTTGCCAGGAGGTCCAGAAGATTAACAATGGCTCGAGCCAAGCAGATGGCACTCTCAAGCCAGTGGATGAAAAAGAGGAGGCAGTGGCAGCCGAAGTCGGCTGGATGACCTCCGTGAAGGACTGGGCTGGGGTGATGATATCCGCCCAGACGCTGACCGGCAGAGTCTTGGTAAGTCCCTAGTCCCTCCTACCCAGGAGGCCTTGCACCTGGTTTGGAGAAGGTGGCTTTGCTTATGGGATTTGTGATGTTGCAATGGATGTGTCTTCTCCAGTCTACTGAGACTGGGAGGTTGTGTGAACAGCCATTGTTCAAGAAGGAGCTCTGTATTCTGCATTTGTAAGCCAGGAGCTAGCAGTGGGGGTCTGCAGAAGGTGGGCTGGCATTCTGTATAAATGGCTTATTGGAAGGATGTTTTGGACTTTCTTTTCCAGCAAGACAGGTATACACACACAGAACAGAAATATCTTGGAATTAATCTGAGATTCAAGGAGTTCTCTAAGTGTGCATCTCTGGGGTAGCTTTTTGGCAAAATTACTGCTAGTCTCTGGGCAACACAGACAGCGCTTCTTGGAGCAGTGTCTTAATTCTTCTGTGTGAGATAAGGGGGAAACGCTCAGGTACTCTCTGTCTGTCTGTCTGTCTGTCTGTTTTTTTATCTGTCTATCTACCTACCTACCTACTTTCCTACCTACCTATTTACTAGTACTGGGGATTGAACTCAGGGCTTAGATACTGTTCTTTAGCATTTTTGCTCAAGGCTAGCACTCCACCTCTTGAACCACATCACCCTACTTCCATTAATGGCTTTTTGCTGGGTAATTGTGGATAAAAGTCTCAAGAATCTTCCTGCCAGGGCCAACTTCAAACTACAATAATCAGATCTTAGCTTTCTGAATAACCAGGTTTATAGTTGTGAACCAGCATCTGGCCATTAGGTGCCCTTATTTTTGATGAGGGTGTCGCCTAGCCTATGTGGGGCTTATTCTGCCACTTCTCTGCACACTTCCTGCTCTTCTGTAGTTTGCTTGTAGAATTTGGCTTCCCTGATTGGCCACAAGCTCCTGATTTAAAGCAGGGATCATGGAGGAGTGGGGGTGGGGATTGAGTGGGGGGAAAAGTCTGTAGTGGCTGGCCATGCTAATATTCCGGGGATGGAGAAGCATCTGAGATGTTCGTCTTTCAGTGCAAAGACTAGAGAAGAACTGGGTGGCCAAGGACTAAGTTGCTTTCACCTGTTAGGCCCATGTACCTGCCACAAGAGGGCTCCTTCTTTGTGTAGCAGCTTCCCAAGTCTGCCCTGGTTCAAGAATTTCTCTGGGAGGTGGCAGTGCATTCTTGGTAATCTCTCATGATTTTGGAGTGGGTTTGTTGGGGCTGCCCTGCCTGGTTCAGTCAAGAGTCCTTTGGCTCACAAACAGGCTGGGGGCATGGCTCAAGTAGTAGAGCACCTATGTAAAAAGGCAAAGCCCTGAGTTCAAACTCTCTCTTCCTCCCAGCTTCTTAGCCAATAGAGAGTAAGAGTTCCAAGCTGTAACAGAGAGGAATATGTTGTATTGTGGGAATGGAGGGTCCTTTAGTGAGATCAAGGGCTGTATACACATAGGCATTGAGAGCAACAAATGGCTGGGAGACCAGAGAGGCTGAAAATAGCTTGTCACAGTCAGACTTAAGAATGAGAGAGGTTGGAGATTGGAGGTACCAGGAAAAGTCAGAGTGGTGAACCTAGTGATAGCACAAGAGAGGATTGGTATGGCCCCAAGAAACAAGGCGTGGAATGACATTAGCAGTGGAGTCAGGCAGGTGGGTGTGGGTGACAGACATTTTGCAGGTAGGATTCCTAGGGCCAAACATGTCCAATAACCACTTTGACACTGCTATCTCAGTCATGCTATCCAGAGTCAGGCAGCTGTACTAATTGTGCACATCACCATCCATTTGAAGGGCAAGGACCACATGTCCTGTGTTGGGTTAGGAGGCCATCATAAGGAAGCCAGCTAGTTACCTGGGCATCTGGCTCTTAGTTGGGAAAATAAAAACATAGGAAGGGCCATGACTTGCCCCAAATATGCAGCTTTAAGTCACAGAGCTAGCCTGGTACCTAGGACCTTTGGTCTCCCAGTCTAGTGTTCCTTCTCTATGTTGACTTCCCAATGGAAGATAATGCTTTTTCTCTCCCAAGCCACCGCCAGCTTTGGCTGTGACACTTTGACATTATTACCTCAGTGCTAATGAGGTGCAGTCAACCCCTGGCCTCTCTCTTTTAACCTTTGTATCCAGAGGTGTGCTCTGCCCAGACTTCTCTGCTTGGGGCTGTGTAAGGAGCCATCTCTGACGGTCTTTTTGCAGAGAAGTTCTCCTGAAGTCCTGTAGGACTATGGGTGTCGGGTAAGCAGACCAGGGGAGCAGGCCCATTCTTTAGGAGGACACAGTTTAGCTCTATTCAAAGAATGGAATCTATAAGGAAGTCTCAGCACACAGGAGAGAGTGTCCTGCCTGTTCTGAACCCAAAGTTGTGTTTGTCTTGAGTTGTTCAAATATTTATCCCTGCAGCATTGGGACCCAAAGCAAGGCCAGATACATGGCTGTTCGGTTTCCTTTTTCAATTTTCAATTTGTTCTCTTTGACAGATGCTTAGCAGCTAGGCTTCCACATCTGGGACCCTTTCTCACCTGTCTGATTGTCACAAGTAACAGTCTCCAAGATAAGTAAGGGAAGAATTTGCCAAGACCAGTCCTAGCTTATCTCTGTAGGAGCTCTCCAGCAGGCATGGCATTTGTTGGAAACTTATCTGCACTTGTTTGGCTCTGTGCTAGGCACAGGCAGAAAGTGGTGAGCGGTAGTGATTCAGGGTATGAATTATTTATATTGTTGAACTAAGTAGAGAGTTCCAGAACTCCATTTTAAAATGACAGAGATAATCACTACTCAACAGAACCTTTTATAGTCAACACCTGGGGCCTCATCACCTAAGTGATGAAATTCCTTGACCTTAGGGCTGCAAGTATCAGAATAGCCTTCCCTCCTGCGTGTGTGTGTGTGTGTGTGTGTGTGTGTGTGTGTGTGTGTCCTTGGCACTAGGTTTAGCTGGATAAAAATAGCAAGTCTGGATAGATGAGCCCTCTTAGAAAGGTTTTCAAGGATTACTGCTTCCTTTATCTTTTTTTTTTTTCAGCCAGTACTGAGGCTTGAACTCAAGGTTTGAACACTGTCCCTTAGCTTTTTTGCTCAAGGCTGGTGCTTTAGCACTTGAGCCACGGCTCCACTTCTGGCTTTTGGGTGGTTAATTAGAGATAAGAGACTCATTGACTTTTCTGCCCAGACTGGCTTTGTAACATCATCCTCAGATAAGCCAATGGAACTGGCGTCCTTTTTTTGTAATTAAAATATATTTATTTTCTGATTATAAAAATACAGTTGACTTTCTTATGTCTGCCAATTCTACACCCATAGAGTGAACAAATGCAATGTCAAAAATACTGGGAAAAGTTAAATTATATTGAGCATGTATTGTCTTTTTTGGTTATCATTCCCGCATGAATACAGTATCTTAAGCCTTATAAACATAGTGGACCAACTATTTACATAGCATCAAAATCACATCAAGTAGTTGACTAATACAAGGATGCTTGAAAGTACCCTGGTACATCTCTGTACCTGCAGCATTTATAGAAGGGACTTGAGCATTCTTGGGTTTCGATACATACACAAGTCCTGAAAACAGTCCCTAAAGATTCTGAGGCACAACTGCAGGTAGTACATGCTTACTTTAAAATTCTGGAAAATGTTGGATGAATTGCTGATAAGATTCTAGGATAGCCAGGCGCTGGTGGCTCATGCCTGTAATCCTAGCTACTGAGGAGGCTGAGATCTGAGAATCATGATTCAAAGCCAGCCTGGGCAGAAAGTCCATGAGACTCTTATCTCCAATTAACCACTAGAAAACCAGAAGTGGTGCTTTGGCTCAAGCAGTAGAGAGTTCACCTTGAGCTGAAGAGTGCAGGGATAGCGCCCAAGCAGAGTTCAAGCCCTGTGACTGACCAAAAAAAAAAAAAAGGATTCTAGGATATGGGGCTGGCCCACATTGGCAGTGTAAAAATCACCAGGATTTTCCCCAACTATTTGGATTTTGTTAAGGACTTTCTTCCCTACATTTCATACAATCCACTTTATGCATGGAGTTCATAGTTATTTGCACTAAAAGTTGTGAACACCAATGAACATCTTAAATTGGAAAGGGAGTCATGTGTTTTCCTGTGGTGGATATGATGAACTCAGTTGATGGTCTATGGAACCACAAAGAACTTTAGAGGACTTTTCATTCTGTACCTCCCTTCACTTCTTCTGTTACAGTCACTTTTCTTATTTTCTTTTTGCCCTGAATACCTGACTCCTTTGTTTGAAATGTACACATATCTATGTGTGGTTATATGTATTATACTTGTTAAATGAACAGATTAAACTCTTTCCATGAGCTAGTATCTAAATATAGAGGGCAAGAAACACAAGAATTGGCTCTTATATAGTTTGGTTGCACTTTGTGCAACCATAAGCCCAAATCAATAAAGGTATTGAAGTTTGAGGTTGGCAAGATTTCTGTAGCAAGTATATTAGGATTTGCGGACCATGTGGACTCATCCTTGACTGTTGAACTCTGCCATTGTCTCTGCCATTGTGGTGTGAAGGCAGTCACCAACAGCCATGGTGTGATGGTTCTAACAAAACTTTATTGGCAGAAATAGATGACGATGACAAGCCAGATTTGTTTCATTAGGTCATACTTTGCAAACTGTAGTTTATCTCTTTGTCTTTGAAAAAATATTTTGTGTGTTGAGAGATGAAAATTTTCTAAGAATAATAGAACCAGAGAAAGTGTGTGTGTGTGTGTGTGTGTGTGTGTGTGTGTGTGTGTGT